TCGGGTGATATTACAGCAGTATTGAGGTTCTCAGGGCATGTTGACAGAACATTTACATCGGGTGATATTACAGCAGTATTGAGGTTCTCAGGGCATGTTGACAGAACATTTACATCAGGTGATATTACTGCAGTATTGAGGTTCCCAGGGCATGTTGACAGAACATTTACATCAGGTGATATTACAGTAGTATTGAGGTTCTCAGGGCATGTTGACAGAACAGTTACATCAGGTGATATTACAGCAGTATTGAGGTTCTCAGGGCATGTTGACAGAACAGTTACATCAGGTGATATTACAGCAGTATTGAGGTTCTCAGGGCATGTTGACAGAACAGTTACATCAGGTGATATTACAGTAGTATTGGGGTTTTCAGGGCATGTTGACAGAACAGTTACATCGGGTGATATTACAGTAGTATTGGGGTTTTCAGGGCATGTTGACAGAACATTTACATCAGGTGATATTACAGCAGTATTGAGATTCTCAGGGCATGTTGACAGAACATTTACATCTGATGATATTACAGCAGTATTGAGATTCTCAGGGCATGTTGACAGAACATTTACATCTGATGATATTACAGCAGTATTGAGGTTCTCAGGGCATGTTGACAGAACAGTTACATCGGGTGATATTACAGCAGTATTGAGATTCTCAGGGCATGTTGACAGAACATTTACATCAGGTGATATTACAGTAGTATTGAGGTTCCCAGGGCATGTTGACAGAACATTTACATCGGGTGATATTACAGCAGTATTGAGGTTCTCAGGGCATGTTGACAGAACATTTACATCAGGTGATATTACAGCAGTATTGAGGTTCTCAGGGCATGTTGACAGAACATTTACATAAGGTGATATTACAGCAGTATTGAGGTTCTCAGGGCATGTTGACAGAACATTTACATCAGGTGATATTACAGCAGTATTGGGGTTTTCAGGGCATGTTGACAGAACAGTTACATCAGGTGATATTACAGTAGTATTGGGGTTTTCAGGGCATGTTGACAGAACAGTTACATCAGGTGATATTACAGCAGTATTGAGGTTCTCAGGGCATGTTGACAGAACGTTTACATCAGGTGATATTACAGTAGTATTGGGGTTTTCAGGGCATGTTGACAGAACAGTTACATCGGGTGATATTACAGTAGTATTGGGGTTTTCAGGGCATGTTGACAGAACAGTTACATCGGGTGATATTACAGTAGTATTGGGGTTTTCAGGGCATGTTGACAGAACAGTTACATCGGGTGATATTACAGCAGTATTGAGGTTCTCAGGGCATGTTGACAGAACATTTACATCAGGTGATATTACAGCAGTATTGGGGTTCTCAGGGCATGTTGACAGAACAGTTACATCAGGTGATATTACAGCAGTATTGAGGTTCTCAGGGCATGTTGACAGAACATTTACATCGGGTGATATTACAGCAGTATTGAGGTTCTCAGGGCATGTTGACAGAACGTTTACATCAGGTGATATTACAGTAGTATTGGGGTTTTCAGGGCATGTTGACAGAACAGTTACATCGGGTGATATTACAGTAGTATTGGGGTTTTCAGGGCATGTTGACAGAACAGTTACATCGGGTGATATTACAGTAGTATTGGGGTTTTCAGGGCATGTTGACAGAACATTTACATCAGGTGATATTACAGCAGTATTGAGGTTCTCAGGGCATGTTGACAGAACATTTACATCGGGTGATATTACAGCAGTATTGAGGTTCCCAGGGCATGTTGACAGAACAGTTACATCAGGTGATATTACAGTAGTATTGAGGTTCTCAGGGCATGTTGACAGAACATTTACACCGGGTGATATTACAGCAGTATTGAGGTTCTCAGGGCATGTTGACAGAACATTTACATCGGGTGATATTACAGCAGTATTGGGGTTCTCAGGGCATGTTGACAGAACATTTACATCGGGTGATATTACAGCAGTATTGGGGTTCTCAGGGCATGTTGACAGAACATTTACATCGGGTGATATTACAGCAGTATTGGGGTTCTCAGGGCATGTTGACAGAACATTTACATCAGGTGATATTACAGTAGTATTGGGGTTTTCAGGGCATGTTGACAGAACAGTTACACCGGGTGATATTACAGCAGTATTGAGGTTCTCAGGGCATGTTGACAGAACATTTACATCGGGTGATATTACAGCAGTATTGGGGTTCTCAGGGCATGTTGACAGAACATTTACATCAGGTGATATTACAGTAGTATTGGGGTTTTCAGGGCATGTTGACAGAACAGTTACATCGGGTGATATTACAGCAGTATTGAGGTTCCCAGGGCATGTTGACAGAACAGTTACATCGGGTGATATTACAGCAGTATTGGGGTTCTCAGGGCATGTTGACAGAACAGTTACATCGGGTGATATTACAGTAGTATTGGGGTTCTCAGGGCATGTTGACAGAACAGTTACATCGGGTGATATAACAGCAGTATTGGGGTTCTCAGGGCATGTTGACAGAACATTTACATCGGGTGATATTACAGCAGTATTGGGGTTCTCAGGGCATGTTGACAGAACATTTACATCGGGTGATATTACAGCAGTATTGAGGTTCTCAGGGCATGTTGACAGAACAGTTACATCGGGTGATATTACAGTAGTATTGGGGTTCTCAGGGCAAGTTGACAGAACATTTACATCAGGTGATATTACAGTAGTATTGAGGTTCTCAGGGCATGTTGACAGAACAGTTACATCGGGTGATATTACAGTAGTATTGGGGTTCTCAGGGCAAGTTGACAGAACATTTACATCAGGTGATATTACAGTAGTATTGAGGTTCTCAGGGCATGTTGACAGAACATTTACACCGGGTGATATTACAGTAGTATTGAGGTTCTCAGGGCATGTTGACAGAACATTTACACCGGGTGATATTACAGTAGTATTGAGGTTCTCAGGGCATGTTGACAGAACATTTACATCAGGTGATATTACAGTAGTATTGAGGTTCTCAGGGCATGTTGACAGAACATTTACATCAGGTGATATTACAGCAGTATTGAGGTTCTCAGGGCATGTTGACAGAACATTTACATCAGGTGATATTACAGTAGTATTGAGGTTCTCAGGGCATGTTGACAGAACATTTACACCGGGTGATATTACAGCAGTATTGAGGTTCTCAGGGCATGTTGACAGAACATTTACACCGGGTGATATTACAGCAGTATTGAACTTCCTGAAGTCAGTTGTAGAAAACTCCTACCACGTGATGCAGTGGGTAGTGATGCTGTGGGTAGTGATGCTGTGGGTAGTGATGCAGTGGGTAGTGATGCTGTGGGTAGTGATGCAGTGGGTAGTGAAGCTGTGGGTAGTGATGCTGTGGGTAGTGATGCTGTGGGTAGTGATGCAGTGGGTAGTGATGCAGTGGGTAGTGATGCTGTGGGTAGTGATGCTGTGGGTAGTGATGCTGTGGGTAGTGATGCAGTGGGTAGTGATGCTGTGGGTAGTGATGGTATGGGTAGTGGAGCGGATTGGCTGTTTGTGTTACTGACCTGGTGTTTACACTTCAGTGTTGCCGAGTTTTATTCTGTTGATTGAGGACTTTTGATTTAATATATTCTCTCATGTTACAACTCTGTGTATCACTTACTTGATAACAGTGTTAGAACATACACCAAAACATCACACTCATCTATACAACTTCTAAAATGCCTCTCAAAGAAGATGTTAATTTAATAGTTTGTGCTTTAGTTTCATCATAACCTTGGAGACAAGATTTGTTTCATCATGAACAAGTTTACGTGAATACCGGAAAAATTAAATCACTTATAATATGCTTATTTTGACTGTATTTGTGTTTGAATCACCTCTCTGTCTCTATATATAGTCATGGGCGGATCCAGGATTTTTGAAAGGGGGGAGGGTTTCAGGGGGTTGAAAACCCCTGAACCCCCCTTGGCTCCGCCAATACAAAATTATTTTTTAATGTGGTCTTAAGTCATTTTCAAAATGTGTGTGGGGGTCCCTGACCCACCCACCCACCCACCCCTGGATCCGCCACTGTATAGTGGTCGAGGGGCATAGCCCTATATCGACCCTAGCTGCATACAATGTATGTTAATGCATATTAATGATAATATCAGCAATATCGCCAGCAGTATTATCAACAATAATATTAATATAATTAGCAATATTATCATCAGCTATATTATCATCAATAATAATATCATCAGCAAAATTGTCACCAATGACATCTTTAATAATGATGTCAGCATCAATAATGACTTCAGTCCATGGTGAGAACTAACTTCAGTTCACATGGGGTGGGCGGGGAAGTCGTGTGGTTGAAGTGTTTTCTGGTCACGTCTGAAGATTCACATTCAATTCCCCACATGGGTACAATGTGTGAAGCCCATTTCTGGTGTCCCATGCCGTGATATTGCTGAAAACAGTGTAATCTCACAGCTAGCAGGGACAGTGTTTCCAGTGATGTAACTGACAGATTATACCAACTTTACAAAATATGAGTTAAAGGCTATTCATGTTAAATATTTGATGCCAAAATACCAATAAATATTTTATCATCAGTTATGACAACTAAACAGGTGGACATGTAATTTTCCTTTGACAGTCAATGAATATTGTGTTTGTAATATGATATACAGCATTTTATTTGACTTGGGTAGCTGCTCTCCTGTTTCAAATTCCTGTGAGCCTAGTGGTTAAAGCGTTGGCTCATCACGCCGACGACCCGGGTTCGATTCCCCACATGGGTACAATGTGTGAAGCCCATTTCTGGTGTCCCCCGCCGTGATATTGCTGGAATATTGCTAAAAGTGGCGTAAAACTAAACTCAGTCAGTCAGTCATATTCCTGTGATGATTACTGATCAACATCATCACACAATATTGTCTATAAATTTAATTTTGAGGTTTGAGATGTTCCAGCGATTTATAAGGGATTAATGAAGTGTATCTGTTTTCTGATGTCTAACGAAATGTGGATCTCTTTCAGACACTGGCCGTGATTCTGCGTTGAAAGATCCGTTGGTTCGGTCCCGAGAGCTCTTTATATCGGATGCAACGGATACCTACCCAGTCACAGCTCTACGGTAAGAAGCTTTCCGTTCATGTGCCCCTCCACCCCGTGTCCTGTATTCCTTCGAGTTTCATAGCGTTAAATTTGGTCTCCAGCACCTTATGCTGGTCAACCTGATGGGAATTTAGGTTAAGTGTGGTCTCCAGCACCTTATGCTGGTCTACCTGAGGGGATTCTAGGTTAAGTGTGGTCTCCAGCACCTTATGCTGGTCAACCTGAGGGGTTTCATAGCATTAAGTTTGGTCTCCAGCACCTTATGTTGGTCTACCTGAGGGGAATCTAGGTTTAGTTTGGTCTCCAGCACCTTATGCTGGTCTACCTGAGGGGAATCTTGCTTAAGTGTGGTCTCCAGCACCTTATGTTGGTCTACCTGAGGGGTTTCATAGCATTAAGTGTGGTCTCCAGCACCTTATGCTGGTCTACCTGAGGGGAATCTTGGTTTAGTTTGGTCTCCAGCACCTTATGCTGGTCTACCTGAGGGGAATCTTGGTTAAGTGTGGTCTCCAGCACCTTATGCTGGTCTACCTGAGGGGAATCTTGGTTAAGCGTGGTCTCCAGCATCTTATGCTGGTCTACCTGAGGGGAATCTTGGTTAAGTGTGGTCTCCAGCACCTTATGTTGGTCTACCTGAGGGGAATCTTGGTTAAGTGTGGTCTCTAGCACCTTATGCTGGTCTACCTGAGGGGAATCTTGGTTGAGTGTGGTCTCCAGCACCTTATGCTGGTCTACCTGAGGGGAATCTAGGTTTAGTTTGGTCTCCAGCACCTTATGCTGGTCTACCTGAGGGAATTGACCAGGTTAATATCTATGTTAGTACTATATATATATATATGTTATATGATACAGCCGAATACCATCGTGGCACTTTGTTGTTAGAGACAATGTTTGCCCTGTGCAGTGAATAATGAGGATGTGGTTGCACTGTCTAGATAATAAATACTAGTTGCTAAACCAAGAGCAACAATTGTACTTGTTGTCCATGTACATGCTAAGTAACAAATTATTTCTCTTACTTTATTCAATATGGTGACTTATTTTTCAAACAATTGCATATTCTACTGATGAACTCTGATTAAGAAAAGATGTTACAGTTTTATACTGTTGACTTTTATGTATCGGACTTCAGGTTATTTCAAGGTAAATGTCTCGTCCTCATTCCTTATTTAGTCATCGGATAACTTGAAGTATTTGCATAGCTCCCTTCAACCTCAACACAGTATTCGACTGTATATTTCAGTTGTATTGTCCTGTTGCTTCTGACCCGTGAAGATCCGGGGTAGAATTGATCTACAGCAACCCATGCTGTCGTAAGAGGCGACTAACGGGATCGGGTGGTCAGGCTCGCTGACTTGGTTTACAGATGTCATCATATCCCAATTACGTAGATTGATGCTCATGCTGTTGATCACTGGATTGTCTTGTCCAGACTCGACTAATTACAGACTGTCGCCATATGGCTGGAATCTTGCTGAGTGCGGCGTGAACCTAAACTCACTCACTCCTGTTGCTTCTGCTCCCATACATCAGCCAAGTCTGTGTTTCAGCGGGAAGTGCACAGTAGCCCACTACCAGGACATATACTCGGCCAAGGATCTCGAGCCCAAACCCGACCACTTCTTCTACGTCCTCGGGTATAACCCTGAGACCAAGAGACTGGCGACAACGCAGGGTGAGATCCGGGTGGGCTCGAGCCATCAGGTGAGGCAACAGTACACACTAAAAACATGAGTATCTCACCCCTTGTATTGTCTGCTCGTTATCTCACCCCTTGTATTGTCTGCTCGTTATCTCACCCCTTGTATTGTCTGCTTGTTATCTCACCCCCTTGTATTGTCTCATCTCCCTTGTATTGTATTGTCTGCTTGTTATCTCACACCCCTTGTATTGTCTGCTTGTTATCTCACCCCTTGTATTGTCTGCTCTGTTATCTCACCCCTTGTATTCCTTGTATTGTCTGCTTGTTATCTCGTCATGCGAAGACCCTTGTATTGTCTGCTTGTTATCTCACCCCTTGTATTGTCTGCTCGTTATCTCACCCCTTGTATTGTCTGCTTTCGTTATCTCACCCCTTGTATTGTCTGCTCGTTATCTCACCCCTTGTATTGTCTGCTCGTTATCTCACCCCTTGTATTGTCTGTTTGTTATCTCACCCCTTGTATTGTCTGCTTGTTATCTCACCCCTTGTTTTGTCTGCTCGTTATCTCACCCCTTGTATTGTCTGCTTGTTATCTCACTTGTTTTGTCCCTTGTATTGTCTGCTTGTTATCTCATCTCACCCCTTGTATTGTCTGCTTGTTATCACACCCCTTGTATTGTCTGCTCGTTATCTCACCCCTTATATTGTCTGCTCGTTATCTCACCCCTTGTATTGTCTGTTTGTTATCTCACCCCTTACTTTGTCTGCTTGTTATCTCACCCCTTGTATTTTGTACTTGTTATCTCACCCCTTGTATTGTACTTTAAGTCCCCATGTTACCCTAGAATGGTGATCTACCTTCAGTTGTTGGCGATCTATAGCCTGTTTTTACATTGTCTTGTCATTTCTAGTTAAATTGTTTTAGATTTCATTACTAGTTTTAAATGGATATCTGTGCTAATACACTAGTTTACTGTTCTTTGTCAACAGTTTTTTTTTCTCTAAATTTATTGATCTATAATGTAATTATTACTTGTTCTCGTCACAATATGACTGAATTTTTGCCGATGTGGCGATAAATATTAACTCACTCACTCTAATTGTGTAGGTAGTCTGTATGTGAGTTGTCTGAGTCTTATCCGACTTTTGGTTGTCTCCCCTGGTTGACTGTGCTGTCTCTGGTCTGTGCTGTAGTGCTTCACTCTTGCTGGACAACGGTATAAGAATCTATACCAACATTTCACATCAGAATATGATGCAGAAGTTGGCATCTATAAAGTATCATGCTGTTTTACTACCCATCAAGTTCTAAAATACTAGTCAAACAGAACTGACTGGCTTCATTGTCTCCCCCTGTCTTACATGTGTTTTGTTTCCCCAGGCTCGACTGCCGGAGTATAAGCCGGATGTCCGCCCACCCGACATGCCGGAGAGCTGTGACAAGCATGAAGATCTCAAATGGCAGCCGTTGTGTGTCATGGATGGCGATCTCATCATGTACCTCCGTGCAGCAAGGTGGGTCAAGCCTCTAGTCTTGTATATGATGGCCACCTGGTTTCCTTGGTCGGGTTATAACACAGAAGTCTTACATTGAATACATGGGTGTGTGATTATTACCTTGAAGATCACCAATTACACAATCTTCTACAGAAAGTTCAGGGCCCCGTTCCTCAAAGCGATCGTAGCGCTACGACAGTCGTAACTCCCATACTTTAACACAGACTTACGACTGTCGTAGCGCTACGATCGCTTTGAGGAACGGGGCCCAGATTCCAGTTGTTTACACTGACTTAATATATGGCAATACATTGAAGTTGTTCCATGACAGGGGTTATTACATTGAAGTTGTTCCATGACAGGGGTTATTACATTGAAGTTATTCCATGACAGGGGTTATCACATTGAACTTATTCCATGACAGGGGTTATTTCTTTGAAGTTATTCCATGACAGGGGTTATCACATTGAAGTTATTCCATGACAGGGGTTATTACATTGAAGTTATTCCATGACAGGGGTTATCACTTTAAAGTTAATCCATGACAGGGGTTATCGCTTTGAAGTTATTCCATGACAGGGGGTATCACATTGAAGTTATTCCATGACAGGGGTTATTACATTGAAGTTATTCCAAGATAGGGGTTATTACATTAAAGTTATTCGATAGGAAGGGTTATTATCAGTGTAGGAAAGATAGCCGTCCCAACATCCGAGACGGGTGAATTTTGTGGAGGACGGGTTAAAAAAATATCTAGTCCGTCCTCATGTCGGGTCAATTTTAGCAAACCAATGACATATATATAATGATTATAACCTTTTTGAATATTTACTGCCGAAGGTGTTTTATTTATATTTGGAGGACAGGCTAGATTTTGGCAGGACTGGTAAAAAATTTGACCTGCCAGTCCTGTGGACAGGCTAGATTTTCTACATCTTTCCTACACTGTTATTACATTAAGTTATCCCATGGCAGGGGTTATAACATTGAAGTTATTCAATAGGAAGGGTTATTACATTGAAGTTATTCAATGACAGGGGTTATTACATTAAAGTTATTCAATAGGAAGGGTTATAACATTGAAGTTATTCAATAGGAAGTAGGGGTGTCGTGATACACGAATGTATCGATGCATCGATACATTTTTACTGACGATATGATACGCGATACATGCTTGCGTGTATCGATTCCTATTTTAAAACTTTATCGATTCAAAGTTTTATGCTATATCCATCTCCTTCAAAGTCTTGATAGTAAAATTATACGAGACCGCTCCGATAAATAGATGTAGCTAGCTTTACTTAAAAAATAGGTTGGAAACTAGCAGCTTTTGTGAGTGGCTAGACTATTTTAATGGACCAATCAGGGAGAGCGTACGTTGCCGGTAAGGTAATGCTATGAAAAGGCGCGAATATTATGTATCGCGATACGTATCGTATCGTGACCTTAAATCGTGATACGTATCGTATCGTGAGATTGGTGTATCGTGACACCCCTAATAGGAAGGGTTATAATATTGAAGTTATTCAATGACGGGTTATTACATTGAAGTTATTCCATGGCAGGGGTTATAACATTGAAGTTATTAAATAGGAAGGGTTATAACATTTTAGTTATTCCATGACAGGTTATTACATTAAAGTTATTCAATGACGGGGATTATAACATTGAAGTTATTCAATAGGAAGGGTTATGACATTGAAGTTGTTTAATAGGAAGAGTTATAACATTGAAGTTATTCAATGACGGGTTATTACATTGAAGTTATTCCTTGGCAGGGGTTATAACATTGAAGTTATTAAATAGGAAGGGTTATAACATTGAAGTTATTCAATGACAGGAGTTATTACATTAAAGTTATTCCGTGGCAGGGGTTATCACACTGAACTTATTCAATGGTGGGGGTTATCACATTGAAGTTATTCAGTGGTGGGGGTTATTACATTGAAATTATTCAATGACAGGGGTTATTACATTGAAGTTATTCCGTGGCAGGGGTTATCACTCTGAACTTATTCAATGGTGGGGGTTATCACATTGAAGTTATTCAATAGGAAGGGTTATTGCATTGAAATTATTCAATGACGGGGATTATAACATTGAAGTTATTCAATAGGAAGGGTTATGACATTGAAGTTGTTTATTAGGAAGAGTTATAACATTGAAGTTATTCAATGACGGGTTATTACATTGAAGTTATTCCTTGGCAGGGGTTATAACATTGAAGTTATTAAATAGGAAGGGTTATAACATTGAAGTTATTCAATGACAGGGGTTATTACATTAAAGTTATTCCGTGGCAGGGGTTATCACACTGAACTTATTCAATGGTGGGGGTTATCACATTGAAGTTATTCAGTGGTGGGGGTTATTACATTGAAATTATTCAATGACAGGGGTTATTACATTGAAGTTATTCCGTGGCAGGGGTTATCACTCTGAACTTATTCAATGGTTGGGGTTATCACATTGAAGTTATTCAATAGGAAGGGTTATTGCATTGAAATTATTCAATGACGGGTTATTACATTGAAGTTATTCGTGGCCGTGGCAGGGGTTATCACACTGAACTTATTCAATGGTGGGGGTTATCACATTGAAGTTATTCAATAGGAAGGGTTATTGCATTGAAATTATTCAATGACAGGGGTTATTACATTGCAGTTATTCCATGGTGGGGGCTAGTACATTGAAGTTATTCCAATGGCAATTGTTATTACCTTGTAGCTATTCCCATAGCCTGACATCAGCAGAGAAAAGTAATCGTCATTAGATTGCTTAGTGGTTGGGAATCATTTAGTTGATTATGGTAAAATCAACTATAAACATATGTCTTTTTGACTTGTCAATATATGCTTGAATTTTGGCAATGAATATATTAGTATCAATATGAACATGAATGTGACTAATCATTTGAAATTGTTACGATAATCATATCAGTGTATGAAATAAACAATCACAGAATATGTATGGGTAAGATACAGGGACAGTAGAATACAGCTATTGATCCCAGGTGTGTGATAACAACAGCAGCAGCAGCAGCCATCTTACAGCAGGTAATTACAGAAGCTGACACCAGGCTTGGCGCCATAGAAATCTGATACAACTATCACTCCAGACAGCTATTTTGTTGTTTAATAATTAACGACATGAATTGTGCGGAGAATGTTTCATGATGGTTGCCCTCAGCATAACCTTTCTTAGGTGTGTCTATTATTCATGATCCTCTCGTTGTATCAGACAGAGACGGGCAGGTAATCGGTTGCGGTATCCAATGTTTCCACTGTACGTTTAATTGATTGCAGATGATGTGATTAAGAAAGCAAAGATTCTATGGAGGATGGTGACATCTGTTGTGTTATTTGTTTTATGCATTTTGTATAGCTATCTGTGTGTAATGGTGTGTTAAGGGATGTGGATATGTGATCGTATTCCCTGGCTGCAGAGGCAGAGAAACGAGGGGGGCAGAAAGAGGGGGGTGTAGCCGTTACCTTGTGATGCCAGATACGTTCTTATTTCATGGTTTATCTTTGCTGTAATGGTTTTTCTCCCCTGAAGGATGAAAGCAAGATTTGTCTTAATTTAAATGTTACTTTGAACCAACACTGTTGTCTTGATACATTATTGTTCAATCTGAGTGTTAGATGGTAGTGATAGAGGTGGTTACAATCGTTGTCTCAACATGCTGGTCTTGTGCTGTAGGATTCTGCAAGTTCATCTAGCCAACATGTGTAAATGAGGTCATGTATTTTCTCTTACATCTAACCAACATGTCAGTGAGGTCATCTATTCTCTCACATCTAACCAACATGTCGATGAGGAAATAAATTCTCTCTCCAGTTTAGCCAAAACATCAGTGAGGTAATCTATTCTTTCATACTAGCCAACATGTCGGTGAGGTCATCTATTCTCTCATATCTAGCCAACATGTCGGTGAGGTCATCTTTTCTCTCATATCTAGCCTACAAATCAATGAGATCATGTATTCTCTCATATCTAGCAAACACATCGATGAGGCCTTCTATTCTCTCGTATCTAGCCAACATGTCAGTGAGGTCATTTATTCTCTCATATCTAGCAAACTCGTCGGTGAGGTCATCTATATCTCTCTTGTATCTAGCATAAGCCAACAAATCATTGAGATTATGTATTCTCTCATATCTAGCCAACAAGTCAATCAATGAGATTATGTATTCTCTCATGTCTAACCAACATGTCGTTGAGGTCATATATTCTCTCTCCAGTCTAGCCAAAACGTCAGAGAGGTCATCTATTCTCTTCCACATCTTGCCAACACATGTTTTACAATATGTTTCCCTTGTACTACAATGTGCGTTCTGTTGCAGGAGTATCGCCGCCTTCGCAGGGATGTGTGATGGAGGCTCCACGGAGGATGGTTGCCAGGCAGCGTCCATGGACGAGACCAGCGTCCATGGAACGAGACCACCATCAATGCCATGGACATAGTAAGTGCAGCTTCTTCCGTAACCAGTGTCTCCATCTACTCCTAAAGTGACTTATCATTACCAATGTATGTTATGCGGTCTCTCACACAACCTGTATCTAACTCATGAAATGCACCACAGGAAGTGTGTACACTCGTGTTGTTCTAGCAGATTTACTATTCAGATGGTGCACATGTTGGCCTAGACGAACAGTCAGTCTCTGAATATATATAATTTTTATAGTAACAGATAATCCCATTTAAATTGAAAAGGAGCCCCAGTGAGATCGAAGATTCAGAGGAAATCTAGACTTACTTCATTTAAGGCTATAGCATTGCTAAAGGCAGGGCAGTAGGGAAAATAATGTGGTTCAGGGACTGTGAGACAGAATAGGATTTGTCTGGTACATAGATTTAAACTCAGATTTGTCCCATAAAAAAACAATAACTGTCCCAAAAAAGAAATTGTCACAAAAATACATTGTTTGAGGGTACACACGAAAGATATTTGGGCTCATAGTTGTAATATAAAGTATATGTTATGCTGAAATAATATCCCAGCCCTTCCCATCTCCACCCGTCAGTTTATCAACGAGATCATTTTCTTTCTTGCAAGAAAGGGACGGTGGAGTAGTCTAGTGGTTCAGGTGTTAGCTTGTCACACTAAAGACCCCGGTTCAATCCCCCACATGGGCACAATGTGTGAACACGCGCTGTAAACATACGTTTGTTAACATACACCATTGTCAGTGTATACGGTTGTTAACATACACCATTGTCAGTGTATACGTCTGTTAACATACACCATTGTCAGTGTATACGGTTGTTAACATACACCATTGTCGTTAACATGTATACGGCTATTAACATACACCATTGTCAGTGTATACGGTTAACATACACCATTGTCAGTGTATAACATACACCATTGTTAACATACACCATTGTCAGTGTATCACGGTTGTTAACATACACCATTGTCAGTGTATACGGTTGTTAACATACACCATTGTCAGTGTATACGGCCGGCTGTTAACATACACCATTGTCAGTGTATACGGTTGTTAACATACACCATTGTCAGTGTATACGGCTGTTAACATACACCATTGTCAGTGTATACGGTTGTTAACATACACCATTGTCAGTGTATACGGCTGTTAACATACACCATTGTCAGTGTATACGGTTGTTAACATACACCATTGTCAGTGTATCCGTCTGTTAACATACACCATTGTCAGTGTATACGGCTATTAACATACACCATTGTAAGTGTATACGGCTGTTAACATACACCATTGTCATACACCATTGTCAGTGTATACGGCTGTTAACATACACCATTGTCAGTGTATACGGTTGTTAACATACACCATTGTCAGTGTATACGGCTGTTAACATACACCATTGTCAGTGTATACGGCTGTTAACATACACCATTGTCAGTGTATACGGCTGTTAACATACACCATTGTCAGTGTATCGTTAACATACACCATTGTCAGTGTATACGGCTATTAACATACACCATTGTCAGTGTATACGGCTGTTAACATACACCATTGTCAGTGTATACGGTTGTTAACATACACCATTGTCATACACCATTGTCAGTGTATACGGCTATTAACATACACCATTGTCAGTGTATACGGCTGTTAACATACACCATTGTCAGTGTATACAGCTGTTAACATACACCATTGTCAGTGTATACGGCTGTTAACATACACCATTGTCATACACCATTGTCAGTGTATACGGCTGTTAACATACACCATTGTCAGTGTATACGGCTATTAACATACACCATTGTCAGTGTATACGTTACCTGTTAACATACACCATTGTCAGTGTATACGGCTGTTAACATACACCATTGTCAGTGTATATGGCTGTTAACATACACCATTGTCAGTGTATACGGTTGTTAACATACACCATTGTCAGTGTATGTCATACACCATTGTCAGTGTATCACGGCTGTTAACATACACCATTGTCGGTGTATTAACATACACCATTGTCAGTGTATACGGCTGTTAACATACACCATTGTCAGTGTATACGGCTGTTAACATACACCATTGTCAGTGTATACGGCTGTTAACATACACCATTGTCAGTGTATACGGCTGTTAACATACACCATTGTACACCACACCATAACATACACCATTGTAAGTGTCAGTTAACATACACCATTGTCATACACATTGTTAACATACACCATTGTCAGTGTATATACGGCTGTTAACGTTACACCATTGTCACGGCTGTTAACATACACCATTGTCAGAGTATACGGCCGTTAACATACACCATTGTCAGTGTACATGGTTAACATACACCATTGTTAGTGTACATGGTTAACATACACCATTGTTAGTGTATGTGATTGTTAACATACACCATTTTGAGTGAATACAGTTATTAACATACACCATTGTCAGTGTGTATGGTTGTTGACATACATTACTTTCAGTGTATGCACTTGTTATCTCATACAGTTGTCAATATGAATGATTGTAAATGCCCTCCATTGACAGTGTATACGGTTGTTAGCATACATTGATCAACTGATACACAGTTTTGTTGTTGTGCCAAGAACCAATCACTGCCAAGCCTGTCACGAAGCTCGGTAATGTAATTACAAACGCATTCACTTCCACAAATGTTGCGTGTTTGATATACTGCTAGAACGTTCCTGGCATTGCCTGAGCTAAGTGTAAACACACTGTGAAGAGAGTAGCTGGCGGCCACAATATGATATTCCACGCAGAGTTATCTCCCCTACATACATCTTTCTCCAAGAGGCCAACATGTTGTGGTAATTGTCAGCTTGGGTGGTCGGTAGCGACCTGCAGGGGTCAGTGGGATGCTCCCGGCAGCAGAATAGGCACCCTGACAGTCGGTGCTAGTCTCGACAGCTCTCTGCTGGAACAAGCTTCACCATCTCCCCGCCATGTTTTGATAGGAATCATTTGGCAATAATGCTCCAGCACTATCGGAGGTTTTCTTGCGTATCGGGTTTCTTCCTGTGATGCCAATGAAGTCATGTTAGGCCCTTTCGTCTCGTGGAGTGGTGATGGAAAAAACTGATATTTTGTGTAAATATTCAAGCATAATATTTCTTGTTGTAAAAGGGGAGACCATTATTGTGTTCTTGACTTCATTGGTGGAGGAATTCAGTGAGTCATTGCGGGAGATTGGTTCTGATTCCATGGAAGGTAGCTCACAGTCTTGTGTTCGGTGGAGTGTAGGTTGTAAACTGCAATAACAGATAGCAAACAGTCTTCATTGTTCTGAAGCCTGGTTCAACTTGATATGAGATGCAATCACATGTGAGCCTTCTCTTCCTGGAGTTATGCTTCCTGATGTAAGACCATCTAACTCTAGAACATTGATGTGTTTGTTTGGGGAGGCGAGTCGACATTTGATACATTTTAGGCGGATCAGATCGTCATGTAACAGTTTCTCATTTGGTTGTTGTTTTGAAAGTTGATAGGAACTGTTTGGGGATGTTTGAGAGGGGGCCTCTCTCAACAGCTTCTCCTGAACTTAGCACACATCTACATCAGCTGGTGCCTTGCTGCTGGGAAAGGGAATGAATGTCACCTTTAATGAAATCTTGTTGCTCTATGTTGATACATCAACCAAACCCTTTGTTGTTGGAGCGATACAGTTTGTGTATTTACCAAGTAATCAGGGCTTCCAGGTGGGATTTCCAGATTGGAACTGGTTCCCTAAAGTCCCTGTTGGGCTTTTGGGTGGAGATTTCTGGTTATAACTGGTCCCCAGAAGCCCATGCTTGTCTTTCTTTGGGATTCCTTGTTAGAACTGTTCCCTCCAAGTCCATGCCGATCTTTTTGTGGGTTTTCTGGTTAGAACTGGTCACGACAAGTCATGCTAGTATTTTTGTGGGAATTCTGGTTAGAACCAGTTCACAGCAGGTTTTTCTGGTCCTAAGTCGTAGGTGAATCAGGTGGTCAGACTCTATGATGTGGTTAGTGGATAGTTCGTTACAATGATTGCTATATACTGTTGCTGATTGCTAAACAAGCAAACCATTGGTTTTTTTGTATGGTTTATTTATTTTTTATGGGTTGAAATCTTGAAATCATTCCATTTGATTGTCAGGTAATTTGTCAGGTAATGAAAGGAAATACTTGGGATTATGAAGTCATAAGGCATTTCAAATTAGTAATTTTTCATTTATGCATTAGTGTGGAATAATCACTGACAGATATATGTGTAAGTGTGGAATATTCGCTGACAGATATATGTGTTTGTGTGGAATATTCACTGACAGATATACGTGTTAGAGTGGAATATTCACTGACAGATATATGTGTTAGTGTGGAATATTCACTGACAGATATATGTGTTAGTGTGGAATATTCACTGACAGACATATGTGTTAGTGTGGAATATTCACTGACAGACATATGTGTTTGTGTGGAATATTCACTGGCAAATATATGTTACTGCGAGAACGTGTGTATGCGTTAATTATACTGGAATATTTTCTGACGTGTATATAATTTCAAATAAATCACTGTGACATTTATGAACAGTTTACCATAGACTGAGGATCTGTGGCTATAACGGACCCATAAATAATATGTGACTGTCACAGCTTGTATATGTGACAGGTGATAAAACATATAATATAAGTGTCAGTCCTCTGGGTGCATTCAGGCGAAAATGATAATGGAATCCAATTATCACTAATTGTCAGACTACAATTGATGTTGCCCACTTTGATGTATTTAATACAGCCATACATCTTCTGGCGTTCATGTGAGTATTTCGTGTACAGTACAGTTTCATGGACGTTCCACCTTCAGACTTCTTATGTTCTGTTTCAGCTGCACGACTACAAGTACGACACTGGGAAGTCGCTGCAAGCCCTCGTCCGAAGTCCAGCGCTACGCAGCATTGAGAAGAAGTGGACAGAGGATGACTCGGTAAGTCGATTGTGGAGATACTGATAGATGCCCCATATAGATTCTGGATGAGAATAGACAAGTGGTTGAGGTGTTGTTCAACAAGCTGGAGCCCTGGATTTGATTCTCTTCATGTCTCTTAAGATGTTGAGATTATTTGTTGGTCACGAACGCTGAATATGGTTTGAAGTTGGAGATGATTTCGGCAGGCTAACTCTGTGACCGGACAGATGGCCTTGACCATCAAACTTCTGACTCTCCTTTGAGTCCAGAGTTATTTCTTGTTGACAAAAAGACTTAAATCACAACCGTCTATATGACTGACATCATAGTCATCTTCTTTGATCCTGTACAGATACTATTGGTCTACATAAAACAAAACTGTATCACTGGCTGGCATCTTCTTTGATCCTGGACAAATACTGGATTGCTCTACATTAGAAACTGACAATCTGACTGACATCGTAGTCATCTTCATGGATCCTGTACAGATATTATTGGGTCTGAAAACACAACTGTCGATATGATGATGTTAGTCAGTCTTCATGGAGTACAGATACTATTGGTTTACATAAAACACAACTGTCTATCTAACAGACATCGTAGTCATCTTCACGGATCAACAAAAAACATTTGACTGGCAGTCGGTGTGTGGACCACACATAGATGGTGGGTGTTGGCTAATTGTACTCTTGTTTATGTTTTGGGGTAGTATATTTGTTTTTATGTTTATGGTGGTTGACTGTTGGTACATCAGACCATCAACATACTGCTAGTGAAGTGAAGCTTATATTTCTTTTGAATCTTTTAACCAGTGTTAGGAATATACTGTATGTAGTAATTTCTGACAAGGAATATGAGTGGACATAGAGTATGCCATTGTATCTGTTCAGTGAGAAACCCTCAAAAATGTTTTTTAAAGTAACTGGTTTCTTTGAAACATGAGTGCTTTAGTATTGTCCACACAACATGTGCTACTGGGACGGTGGGGTGGTGGAATTGGGTTTAATGTCGTGCTTGAGAATATTTCGCTCATATGACGATGTGCATGCGTGTGTATGTGTAGGTGCGGCTGCTTGTACTAGCCCAGACTGAAGCTAGTTTTATAGTGCTAGCCCACTGAGATACCATGCCGCAGTGAAGCATGAATACCCCTCTCAGACACATTATACTGACTCCGAGCCGACCAGTCCTTGTTGTACCCATTAATGCTGATGGCCAGGCAGGGACCAACAAGTTTCTTATTTTTAACGTCTTTTGGTATGACGCGGTCGGGGATCGAACCCGCGACCTTCCGCACTCCGGGCGACCGATGTAACAACTACACCACGGAGGCGGTCCATGTGCTACTGGGACAGTGGGGTAGCCTAGTGGTTAAAGCGTCTGTTCGCCATGCTAATGATCCAGGTTCGATTCCCCACATGGGTATAATAATGTGTGAAGCCGATTTGTGGTGTCCCCCGACGTGATATTGCTGAAAAATTGCTTGAAGCAACATAAAACCATACTCACCCACTCAAAACATGCGATTAAAATTGACTACAGTGTTATGGCACTTTGAATAGTACTTTGGCAAGATCTCACCATAAAAGGGTTCCACAAATGTGGGGCATCGAACAATGTTGTCAGTGTGACGAGCGAACACTTGTTCCACTAGACCAACCCACTGACTGATGACTGAAATGACAAGAGCGGGATTATGATGCTCAAGGTGATGGTGTTCACCCTGCAGGTCAGATTTCCCCCTCTTTCTCACCGTTTCTGTGATGGAGATGTGGATGCTGCCTTGTATTTTTTCCTTAGATATATCTAGCAGGACGTGTGTACACTGTGACATCAAACAGATCAGGGTACTTGTGTGATCAGACGTCCTTGTCAGGCAAAGCAACGTGTTTCCACTCGGTGTCTAAGTGGGCGAATATTTTGTCGCAAGCTAACACAACAGCATCCCTATGATGTTTGGCTTTGAACTATGTCATCAAACCTCGTGTTTGATTGGTCAGAGCATGTGTGAGCTGTTGTTTGATTGGCTATTGACTGTGTGTGACAACCTCCAGCCTAGAGTGGAACAACTTCATCTATGTGATACAGAATATTAGCTTAGTGTTACATCATCGTGTTGCTTGACAACCACGTTTCAGCATGATAAAACACCTCTAAGAAAATGTTTGTAAAATGTGCATGTTTTCTGCTAAAGGGACAACGTTATTTGCATCTGCTGCTGTTAATAGGGAGAAAATTACTCGTAACAGCTTCCTGAAGACATGTTAAATATGTTTCTAAGTTACACACAGTCCTAACACCGCAGTTGTTGAACAATGCCTGAAGATCCGGAGATATAATCTCATTTGTATCTATGGTATTTTGGCTCAAATTTCAAAATTTTATTGACCAAGTTTGGTCTTTCACAGAAGGGATATGGAGTAGGTTTTTGGTTTTGCATTATCCTCAATATTTTGTTCGCCAAATACTGAATCCCCAAGATGGAATCGTATTATCCTCAGATACAGATTTCATAAAAAATACAGTAACATGTTACTCTGTATTGGTGAATGGTATGTGGAATATGATAGATTGTATGTTCATCAAAGGGAAATCACCAATCGATAATTATCGGTCACTGGATAATGTATTATGTCAATTCAACATTCATACAGTAAGTGTTACAAATATAATTTTGAAAATGGTCTCTGTGTTCAGAAAGAACCCCTCAGGTGTATATCCACCTCCCAATGATACTATTACTCTGACAACTTATCATCGTGCACATACAGTTCCATTTCAGTCAAGTCAGAATCACTTCCATTCACATGTATCTTTCACGCCCCAAAAAGTATATTGGATCTTCTCAGTCATCAAGGCAGATATTAATATTTTCAAGATAATATTTAGAAATAAGTGTGTTAATGAACTGTGTTCAGTGACTGTTTGAAGCAACAAAATGTCATCAGTGACTGTTTGAAGTATTAACATATAAAGTGTAGACGACTGTGAAAAATCAGTGTCATCGTTCAGTGCCAATTGCAACACAGGCCCCTCCCACTGTTTTCAGTCCATTTGTGGGATTAGAAAAGTTGAGTGGTGAAAGGGTTAATTCTTTTTACTGAAGACAGAGGTTTGATTTCCACACAGTATGTAGAGTTTGTTCCTGCTGGCTGGAATATTAGTGCAATTGGTGTCAAATCCACTTAGTGACAACTCATTGCATGGTTCACAGTGGAGGTGAGCGAGGAGGCAGGAGAGGAGAACGAGTAGACGATGGATGGGAACAGTGTAAATGTTCTCTGGGAACATGAGGCCCTGTTTCTGCTCCTCCGTCATGTCCTCTGTTCTTGTGCTTCAGTCACAGACGTCTTAGTGAAGTTTGTCGATGTTGTAGAAGCTGCAGCAGATGCTGTCACTGGTTCACATGTGACACACAGGGTGTGGACAATCCAGATTGTTTGAGATTTATCCACCACGACTGTGAATCACATTGATGCTGTCACATCTGCAGTAAATGACTTGTGCACTTGCAATGCACGCCCGATGGCGAGCCCCGATGGCGAGACCACACGCACCAACTCTGTTTGTCTAGCAGATATTAGACTGCAGGTGATTGATGTATTATGACACAGATTGTTACATAATTCTGATTCTGCTAAGAAGTACGACCTAATGTGTCAGATGTGTTGAGGTTCTGAGAAAACATGCTTTATGGCCACAGCGGTCCTGGTTTGAAAGCTCTTGGAAGGCAGAATTCAAGGGAAGTGACAGATTAAACACAGTGATATGTCAGATGTTTCAGATTTAACAGTTGCAAGTATAAAGAGGCTTTGTGATGGCATTTTGAAGTCATAGTTTCAAACATTAAGTTTAGATAAATCATCCTACATTGCTGTAATATTTACAGTTTGACATTTGGGAGGGGCTTCCATCTTCATCTTCTTTTGTCACATGATGCAACTGGAATGAGTCGAACACATGCAGACTGAGTGATACCTGGTGAATAGTCCTTAACTCAATGTCCTTCACTCAGCGTCATTTGCGTCCTTAACTCAACGTCCTTAACTCAACATTCTGGGAACCAGCCAGAGATCTGACAAGTTGTGGGTAGTTCAAGATGGGGAGTGTTGATAGTGGGCCATGTCATTTAACACATACAGATTTTTGTTGAGGTGTCGGTGCATATGTGGGGATGTTGCTGTGGATGGAGATGTTAGAGTGGGTGGGTGTATGGTGTAGGCGTGTGTCGGAGTTGGTCGGAGGGTTGGTACAGGTTGTGTTGGAGTAGGCAGGCACCATGTGTGCTGGTACTGTTCCATACTGATCCTTGTTTTGTCCGTTCAATGCCAGGCCAGGTCACAAGTACAACCTTTTAACTGCTTTTGCTCTGAAGTGGCTGAGGTTCAAACTGTAGACTTTCTATTCCTTGGCAAACGTGCACTATCCAATAGGCCAGGAGGCGGTCTGTAAGTTGTCTTCCATATATGGTCAATGATGATCCACGTGATCATTATTAATCTGCTCGCTTCTCGTTATTTCAGAAACGGTTCATCAAGGGTCTGAGGCAATATGGCAAGAACTTCTTTAAGATCAGGAAAGAATTGTTGCCTCATCGAGACACGGTAAGAAATTCAAACTTATACCATTGTTACAAATATTTCTCCAACATTCTTAATCTGAAACACGCTGCTCAACTTTAGATAAGGATACTGAGAAATTTCTCATTATTTGCTCATATATTTCAATAATTAGTTTAGCGATTCCTAAAAAAAAAATAGAACTATTCTTATGAAAGGTTGAGTAGTATGTGTTATATGTTCCCTTCATTTAATCTAACATTCTGTCTGGTAGCATGTATGTTGGGTGGTCAAAATGGCCGCCAGTGATTTGCCCGCTCTTGTTGATGCTGTTGCGTGATACTTGTATGTGTGACTGTTGATGTGTAGCAGGTTTGAAGAGCTCATCAGGGGAGGTAACTACATACAGCCTCCTCTTAGTCTGGTGTCGGTAGTTTCTAAATATGTTTGTGTCATTGAAAACCACCGAAACTCTCTACTAAAAGCCAGTAGTCCATCTTGTAATGAGATCTTCCATGATTTTAGTTGTTGATTATCATATGACTCAGTTCTGCGTATCTGGTACATCCACATATCTAGATCATCACAGAGCTGAACATACATACATGCATCTAGGTCACGTGTATCAGTGTCACCACAGAACTATTGGGTACGTACTTGTGTCAGTGTCGTGGTAGTGTGCTCATGTTGACGTATCCAGATCTCGACACTGAATGGAATAGCAAGTCTGATAATTTCATAATCATGTAAAATATTTCATATTATTGTTTCTCTACTCCACTGCTCTTCCCTTTGAATTTGTCCTGTTTCTTTGCCAAGTGAGACAAAGTCATGGCTCTCATAGCAACAGCAACACTTCTCGGTGCATGAAACATATTATTTTTTTTCAGCTTCATTAGAACCACTTCACACACACCTGTAAACTCCTCTTTTCTTTAATCAGCATATTTACAATTGAACCAATTGAACTCGAGATGATGCCCTGAAATATCTCTCCGTCACTCACAACCCCTGTGATGGTGGAAGGAAGGAATCTGTGTCCATACATCTATGACATACTTGTGGGAGGGAGATGTTTAGATCTGACAGTCAAAGGGAGATAACCTGTGTCCATGTGACAAATGTGCTTCAAACCTCTTTCATAGCAATCACACATTTCTAGATCTCCAAATATGTAAATTGTTTCTTTTTCTTGAAAGTTATCTCAACGTTACACCAAACATGTCTATCTTATTCAGCTCAGCTTGTTACCATGGAAGCACTCTCATTTATGTCATTTAAATATTTGAAATTTCCATAAATCAATGTAACAGGCATGGTATAACAATCGATATTGCAGTGTATTTGTTCCCTAGGGCAGTGGCAGAATAACTGTCATTGTTTGCCATAAGAGGGGCGGAGCAACATGTCGTGAAGCCCTACCCTCTGGTGGCTGCGACTGGCTGGGAGCTTCCTGTGTGAGCCCGCCTATATTACATGCCACCTCCTGGGCAGGCCTGCCGATCTGGATCACAGTCAACACTTTGAAGAAGACCTCAGATTTCAAACAGTTAGCAATGCCATAAAGAAGTATTATATTGCATTGACAGTTGTGCATGCCGTGTGTTGAGTGCTGGGGGAATCAATACAGTTGGGCTGTCTCGAGGCAGTCTGTTCCCTTTGTCAGTCAGTAGTGGCAGGGTCGGCGCTGCTGCTACGGTTGTGTAGTCGGGGAGTATGTCTTATGTGTTACGGTTATTACTGGGGTGATCACACACATTGTGTATGTGCCTGTGTGTGTGTGCATGCATGTGCAGGTGCTAGTTTGTGTGTGTGTTCCGTGTGTGTTCTAGTGAGTCTCAAGCTGCAAGAGTATTGCCTTCCATTTGCCAATATTTCTGAATCCGTGATATATTTAGTGAAACTGTGAGACACTTCGTGAAACCTTGTGATACTGTGAGACACCATGTGATGTCTTGTGCAGGGGTATCACTGGTAGATCTATTCTGTAGCTCCAGTTTGAAGCAACTGGGAAGTGTAATGTTGACACTTGTTTAGATACACAGGTAGCTGTGGGTATTATTGGTGGGTATAACAGGTTAGGTGTCACATTGGGTATTATGTGCAGGTATCATCCGATATTACTGGAGTATTATCCAATCAGGTTTCACATTGGGTATTATGTGCAGGTATCATCTGATATCACTGGGGTATTATCCAATCAGGTTTCACATTGGGTATTATGTGCAGGTATCATCCGATATCACTGGGGTATTATCCAATCAGGTTTCACATTGGGTATTATGTGCAGGTATCATCTGATATCAATGGGGTATTATCCAATCAGGTTTCACATTGGGTATTATGTGCAGGTATCATCTGATATCATTGGGGTATTATCCAATCAGGTTTCACATTGGGTATTATGTGCAGGTATCATCTGATATCATTGGGGTATTATCCAATCAGGTTTCACATTAGGTATTATGTGCAGGTATCATGTGATATCACAGGGGTATTATCCAATCAGGTTTCACATTGGGTATTATGTGCAGGTATCATCTGATATCATTGGGGTATTATCCAATCAGGTTTCACATTGGGTATTATGTGCAGGTATCATCTGATATCACAGGGGTATTATCCAATCAGGTGTCACATTGGGTATTATGTGCAGGTATCATCTGGTGGGTATTATCCAATCAGGTTTCACATTGGGTATTATGTGCAGGTATCATCTGATATCAATGGGGTATTATCCAATCAGGTTTCACATTGGGTATTATGTGCAGGTATCATCTGATATCATTGGGGTATTATCCAATCAGGTTTCACATTGGGTATTATGTGCAGGTATCATCTGATATCACTGGGGTATTATCCAATCAGGTGTCACATTGGGTATTATGTGCAGGTATCATCTGGTGGGTATTATCCAATCAGGTGTCACATTGGGTATTATGTGCAGGTATCATCTGGTGGGTATTATCCAATCAGGTATCACATGGAAAATCATATGCATGTCATTCTTTCATCCACCTGTGTGTTCCAAGGGACCTACTGGGACGTCCTGTCTTCTGCTACTGGTGCTACTGTTTGTGGGTGCTTGTGACATCAGCTGCTGGTGGATATTTTAGTAAGGCCTCCGAGTGATGTCATCATTTCTGATAGTTCACCAGCCTTTGTACGTCTGCGATAGTGTCTGTGCTTGTGGGTGTGAAAGTGTGTTATCTGTTAATCCATTGCGGCTCCCCTTCTGTTGTGTCTGCCATCGTGGTGTGTCAGCTTCAAAGTGTGGACAGCATGACAGTGCATTCCTGATGGTGCAGAACCACTGAGGTCTGCTTGTGGGCATCCTCCACAAACACTGTTGGCGTGTTGGTTTCCGTGGTGTCAGTAGGGGTTGGTCATGTTACTGTGCCATCATAATGTGTTTCCATGGGTACCAAGTCTTTGTGATCAAACAGTGATTCCAGCAAAGCATACAGCTGTCTTTGTGTTTAGTGTGCCTCTGACTGTCTACCTGCTCTGGGATACTTCAGGAACCTCTGGTATCTAGCTCCACTGATCACAGTCTGTTGTGGTTGTTGTAGGGGGGATATCTACTTCAGATGTCTTTTGTGTTTAGTGTGCCTCTGACTAAACTGTCTACCTGCTCTGGGATACTTCAGGAACCTCTAGTATCTAGCTCCACTGGTCACAGTCTGTTGTGGTTGTTGTAGGGGGGATATCTACTTCAGATGTCTTTTGTGTTTAGTGTGCCTCTGACTAAACTGTCTACCTGCTCTGGGATACTTCAGGAACCTCTAGTATCTAGCTCCACTGGTCACAGTCTGTTGTGGTTGTTGTAGGGGGGATATCTACTTCAGATGTCTTTTGTGTTTAGTGTGCCTCTGACTAAACTGTCTACCTGCTCTGGGATACTTCAGGAACCTCTAGTATCTAGCTCCACTGGTCACAGTCTGTTGTGGTTGTTGTAGGGGATATCTACTTCAGATGTCTTTTTGTGTTTAGTGTGCCTCTGACTAAACTGTCTACCTGCTCTGGGATACTTCAGGAACCTCTAGTATCTAGCTCCACTGGTCACACTAAACTGTCTACCTGCTCTGGGTCAGGAACCTCTAGTATCTAGCTCCACTGGTCACAGTCTGTTGTGGTTGTTGTAGGGGGGATATCTACTTCAGATGTCTTTTGTGTTTAGTGTGCCTCTGACTAAACTGTCTACCTGCTCTGGGATACTTCAGGAACCTCTAGTATCTAGCTCCACTGGTCACAGTCTGTTGTGGTTGTTGTAGGGGGGATATCTACTACAGCTGTCTTTGTGTTTAGTGTGCCTCTGACTAAACTGTCTACCTGCTCTGGGATACTTCAGGAACCTCTAGTATCTAGCTCCACTGGTCACAGTCTCTTGTGGTTGTTGTAGGGGGGATATCTACTACAGCTGTCTTTGTGTTTAGTGTGCCTCTGACTAAACTGTCTACCTGCTCTGGGATACTTCAGGAACCTCTAGTATCTAGCTCCACTGGTCACAGTCTGTTGTGGTTGTTGTAGGGGGGATATCTACTACAGCTGTCTTTGTGTTTAGTGTGCCTCTGACTAAACTGTCTACCTGCTCTGGGATACTTCAGGAACCTCTAGTATCTAGCTCCACTGGTCACAGTCTCTTGTGGTTGTTGTAGGGGGGATATCTACTACAGCTGTCTTTGTGTTTAGTGTGCCTCTGACTAAACTGTCTACCTGCTCTGGGATACTTCAGGAACCTCTAGTATCTAGCTCCACTGGTCACAGTCTGTTGTGGTTGTTGTAGGGGGGATATCTACTACAGCTGTCTTTGTGTTTAGTGTGCCTCTGACTAAACTGTCTACCTGCTCTGGGATACTTCAGGAACCTCTAGTATCTAGCTCCACTGGTCACAGTCTGTTGTGGTTGTTGTAGGGGGGATATCTACTACAGCTGTCTTTGTGTTTAGTGTGCCTCTGACTAAACTGTCTACCTGCTCTGGGATACTTCAGGAACCTCTAGTATCTAGCTCCACTGGTCACAGTCTGTTGTGGTTGTTGTAGGGG